CCCACCCAGCACACCATTAAGCAAAGGGACTCCACGCTGGCTGGGAGCAGGCAGGAGTGGAAGTCTGCCAATAGGCAACACAGCCACCATCACATGGATCCAGAGCATCCTCGGTGGTTGACATCTGGGTTTGAAGAGTCAATTTAGTACGGTGCAGGGAAACCACACAGCTACCAGGTTTGCTCAATATATGTAGATTCCCGTTTGCTTTTGTCTCTTCTGCCCTTTGGTACTCTGCAGAACACTCAAGCTCTGTAAAGAAAGAACGGGCTCCAAGCTTTGTCAGCAAAACTGGACCAAGTCTTTGTATCATTGAAATCATAAAAGAGACACATTGCAGAGCCAGACTGGCAATTGAAAAATGGCAAGATGAAAAGATTCCTGTCTGAAATTGAAGAAAATATTCCAGAGTTTGGTGGTGGGAGGCTTCCGGGCTGTCTGTTGCTGTTTTACATTAGTCTCATGTAAAGGAGGGTGGTCTTCCTCCAAATTCTATTTTAGTAGTAATATTGATTGTAAGATCTTTAACTCCATTGATGAGAGGAAGAATTTTAAGCATAAGAAGAATACTAATCAAAGCCCAGAATCTGACCATCTGTCCTCCAAAGAACTAAATGGATATATACGACAAGCAGTTAGCTTAAAGATTCTTCTAGCAATTAATACATAGTACAAGGCACAAGGAAAAAAGAACAGATGACATTTACATGAATTTAGTCGGTGAGTTCTTGGTACACAAGCAAGCAGATCTCATCAAAGTCGCTAAATTTTAATTCTCAAGTCAGGTCGTCAGAATGTTTTAATTGAGAAAGTGTTTGTTGTTATGTTGATAGGGCATCACCAGAAACAACGGTCTGGTACTGAAAATTCTACTACACTAATTTTATACAAATTGAAGTATTAGCACATACGTTGCTGACTTCAGAATAACTACAGAGCTACTTCTATTTTAAAAGAAAAAATACCAAATTCGGATTCACAAAAGTTTTTAACCTCTACTGGAAACAAGAAAACTAATATTTTTGTTTGCACTGCTTCAGGCAAATGGTATTGCTCACACTTGATTACTTATCTTTTAAGTCCTTCAGTTTGGGGAAGCAAGGCCTCCAAAGTGGCCTAATGTCAGCTTGCCTCAAGGACCTCTGCTACAAATAGAGTAGTTAAACCCAGACGGTTACAAAAACTCAAGCTCCTGAAAAATAAAGAGCAGCAAAGAGCAGTTAACACTGCACAATTCATTAAGATCCTCATGATAAACGAAGAAAACCACAGATGACCCACAGACCGAGATGCTGACGAATGATCTGCTCGCAAACAGCGGGAACCACGGAGAAGCCTGCTGCTCGCACTCCCTGCACCGACAGCAAAGCACCGCACACTGTGAGGTGGGGAGGTTTCGGCTGGCGAGAGTAGAAGAGTTAAGGAAAAAAGAAAGGAGTCACTGTTGGAAAAGTCCCAGCGGTAAACAAAGTAAATCAGGATGCGAACATCGCTGCCGCAATGCACAGTTTGCAGCGAGAGTAAACTTCTGAAGGGGAATGTGAAGGTGGCCCTCCCACTGGGCTAGCTAACGGCACCACAGACTCAGCTAGCTTTGTCACAAGAGGACACGACCCACAAAGTCAGGAGCCCGTGTCACACCAACTTCATAGCAAAAAGTAAATGCAGAAGTTCAAAAAGTGAGGCTTGTGTTTCTGACAGTAAAGTTAATAAAGAAAGTCTTGAATTCCCTTCCCTCCCTTTTTTTTTCCTGATGGTATGTTGTAACTCCTGATCAGAAACAAGATTTCTCATTCCTAGTCTTTTGACTTTTCTTCTTTGAAGTTTTAAGGCAATTGTTTTTCCACTGTAAAGCTCTGAATAATAATTTAGAAGATCTTTTGACCGCACAGTATTTACTGTATCCTCTTGTCTGCAGCATAATCATAGGAGAATCCCAGTAAAAAGAAAATTATTAATAAAGCATAACAGGTCCTCTGCTATTTATCCAGTAACAATGAAAAATAAGTGTAACTCTGAACCACCTTGGTATTTAAAACCAGCAGCCTGCTTTTTACAAACCCAAGCTCGGGAGTTAGTATTAATCCCCTACACCTTAGGGTTTCAGTGAGACAGACCTCTGGTCACAATGAAATCCAGCTACTGTGATTTATTTCACCAGCTACGGAATTTTCCAGATACAAATAAATAAGGAATGCTCTCTCCCCAAGTGTACAGGCTTGGTTAGGGTAGAACCAGAATGCAAAAGCTGCTGTCACCAGTCCCTCCGGCCCAGCCTTTAGGGCATGCAGCCTGTCCTACCTGGCACCCTTGCTTGCTCCCTATTGCTTATGCACCCCTTCACCCATGGCACTGGGGGTGCTCAGCTCCTCAGGGGTGCTCCGGTCTCCTTACCCAGCATTGGAAGGTAACGGCAGTAGCACACTGTAGGGACGCAAGGACACGAGCGGGAACCTCTGCCTTTGTCATCTGTTATTGTTTGGATAATAAACTGAAGAACTAGGAAGCAGACTCCACGTATGCCTTGTTAAACCAGGCTTATACTAGCTGTAACGCTCACACTGCTGCGAGGCATCAGAACTATTTAGTGGTCCCATTTAAACTGAGACACACGTTTGGCTGTGGTATAGGTCGGACTGATTTTCTGTATGTTGAAACGATAAACCAGCAGCACTGATGTTACATGTTCAGCATCCTTTCTCAGAGTTCATACCTCCTGGAGAAACACAGTGCAGTTTACAACTCAGCTGCAAGTGGAATCTAGGACTGACTCATCTATGAGCTCATATGTTCAGTTACCTTCACAATCAAGAGAGACAAAAGCATAAAAGGATGCTTAGGCATCCTCTGTCTGTAAACCTCCCTCAGTCTGATTTAAAGATGTATCTTTACTCAATTACGTATGCAAGTAGAAGCGAGAGCCTAGTTATCTATCTATATATATATATTCAGTTATATATCTGTAACTAAAGTAAATCTCTCAAAAAAAATACACGTGCATACAGATGCACACCCGTGTCATTAGTTGTGCTAAACAAAACTCCTACTTTGGGGAGGTCCAGCTATGGGAATTAGATGTCTGAACTCACAGCAGAGAGGGCCTGTGCAACACCCACAGCGACCAGCAGCCACCCCGTAGCTTCCTCCCAGCAGCTCCAGGCTGACCGCTGTTAGGTAGCGATCGTGCAACAAAAAACTGGAAAGGCTGGGGGCAAGGACTACTCCTGGGAAGGGCTATCTCTGTCGCACAAAGAAATACCAGTCCAACTCTAAATGGGGCTGAAATCTGGCAGAGGTGTTTTGTTGTTTGAGCAGTGGGTTGGTATGCAAGTTCACAGGATGCCTGTTAAGGCCATTATATAAATATAATTCAGCAAAAAGCTGTACACAGACATGGCTTTCACTCCTGAAGCACCATTCCACAAGTAGGGTGAACGTCACTGCCACGGAGCAACACTATATACTAGGTACTGAGGAAACAGTTGTTCAAGACCTCCTGGAATTCTTTCTAAAATAAAGACTGCAACTAAAATGACCACCTTCTTTCACACTTAAAGTAGTACACTTGCAAGAGAAAAGTTTTAAAGGTGCTGAACACAACGACTGATCTTCTCCACATCCTTTTTACGGTGCACCTACGATCCACATGGAACAGAAAGTATCTCTGCTCTCTATTCATACGCTCACATTCATCCTTGGTATATGCAAAATACAGTGTGACGGAGGTAAAGAGAGTATTAAAAAGGATATTGGTTAGGCACCTTCTTGCCCCAGTTAGGCCAACAAAAAGATTTTAAAAAGTGCTAGGTTTCTATTACCTCAATTCATGTAAGTGAAAATAACCACCTAAAAAGATGACTAGTTTCAACTGAAAATCATGTCCTTTACCTTGAAATTTCAGTAGAGCAAAGCAAAAGCGAACCACTGAGACAATACTGTCTTCGTTATCTGAAATATTAATTTAAACATCCTTTTTCAAAGAAATCTCATGATTCTGAATGGAATATAGGTGTGAACATCGTGACTATAAAAAATATCATGGAGCAGATGTTGCAGAAGTTTCTTCAATGAAGACACACAAGAAGAGTAAACAGCTGTCAGAGGTAAACTAGAGGACTTCTGGGATTCCTCACACTCCTGTTTTTCAATGATTCTAAGAAAAATTGATTTCTTTAGACTCTTTTGAAAACTTTTGCCCAAGAGTCAACAGATACGACGCAAGTCAACTGTCTATTTTCAAAAAAAAAAAAGCCAGTTTAGTTGTGGAATTACCATTAACAGAGTCTAAAAGTAGTTCTCTATAAACTTACTTTCTCAATACTCTAATTCAACCAGCCTGCGTCTTGGTTTTATTCTGCTGAACAGTTGAACTACTGAACACAGCATTACTGTTGTTCTACTGTCATGGTCTGTCTTTCTCCCATTCACGCTGACAACATTAAGTGCTTAAGTAATTATCTTCGAATATTTGTAAAAATAACAGTTTACACACAATCATCTGAAGTGACCTAGGCACATCTTGAAACACTGGCATTTTACTATGATCACATACAGTTTTACCACTGAGGTGCTGAATAATTCCATTCCAGTATGATTACGCGTTCAACTTGCTTGGTTCTTTGATTTGTTTTTTTTAATCATTAACTTAAGCTAATGTAATTTTTGCTGACATTGCACTTATTTTCTTGCTCTCATATATCTAAAATAGAGCATAAGACCTTACTTCTAAACAAGACACTAAACAGGGTCATTAATTAGAAAACTAATTTAATACACAAGTAGATACAAAAATATTCCACAGGCATAAGCAGAGAAAAATCTTTGCACACCAGCACTATTTAACTAATATAGAGTCCTGTTTTGCAATTCACAGCAATGCCTACTAAAGGCAAAACAAACATCTATTTGATCACTGAACAGACAGAGAATTTTAGTAGCTGTCAAGGATAATATACATTGACTCAATTCATCGAATTTCTTAGAAAACGAGCAGAACTTACAGAAAATGACGTGCCATCCTTTGAAACTGCAACAGGGTAAATTCCATCTCCTAGACGCACACAGAGCTCCCAGCTACTTCTCTTTGATTTAGCAATAGGAATTCTAAAAAAGAAACAGATAGAAGAAGAATTTTTAACAGAGATTTCACACGTCTCCCATTTTAACCAGAAGCGCTTGCCTCATAGGACAGTCATGAATGATATAAAATATCATTAATCTATAGACACAGTTGGAGAGCAGACTTGGAAAAAAAAAAACTAAATACATTTTTCTGTCAAATGGCATATAAGGAGAAAATACACTCTACTTTCTTTCTAGATTTGCCTTGGCACACTGGGTACACTGATAAAGTTATAGGAGGCTCTTGAATGCAGCCAGCGCTTGCTGCAGAATTAGCTCAAACAGGATGAAAAGCAGATGAGCAAGTGGGTTGGCAGGAGAATAGCAACAGTGATAGCTGGAGTAGTCTTTTTAAGGGCAAAATACAATGGCTATTTCTTTCATCGCATTCTCAGTAAACCTTAATTAAAGGCCAACTACAGACAAAAGATTCAGCCAAACAAGTAATACAGGTAATTTTATAATTAATACACATTTTAGAGTATCTCATCCACAGAACCCTCCAAGCAAACTGAAAAAATAATGATATAACATCACAGCCCACATGCAGGATTATACCTTTTCCTGCAGCATTCTGTGGCTGCACCAGTTATCAGGTAATGCAAGAAACCTGAATCTTTTCAACTTTAGCTTAAAGAAGCACACTTGACAGCAAAGCAATGAGACCCAAGTCTCCACTCTCGGAAGTTCAGAGGGAAACAAGTAATTTTCAGCTATTTTATTTAAAAGTATATTCTATTTCAGTTTCCTCACCCTAACTTCCCAAATCTCTACCACTTTGTTGGGACAACTGGTATCCAAAAGTATCAGAAAAGTTGCAGCATGAGTGGTTCCCGTATCTTAGCATTAGCAAGCACCGTGTAGCCTAAGGAGAAGGTACGAAGGTGGAGCTTAAACTCCATTAAAACAAAGGCACAGTATTTTGGCATAGCTTTTCTTCCACACTGACCCACACATGTTTAGATTCTCTGTTAGAAATCTATAGAGACAAGTTCATCACCTTTAGGTGACAATGTAAGGATAGTTTCAGCTATAATGTTCATCTATTGTATATTCTAGAGCTTACTACACCATTTTACTGCAGCCTTCAGAGTCTTAAAACTTGGAAACACGTCTTTTCTGTGTCATGCCACATGCATACTCCTGAGGATTGAGGTGCCCCATGAATGACCTCTCCCCAAAGGGAGTGCTCAGGTTCCCTGGGGAAAGAACAGGGAGAGAGAAGGACCTGAGAGGCCTCCAGAGGCCAAGGAGGAGAATTTATCTACCTAAGCCAAGGATAACACACTGACTTGCTAAGGATTTCAACAATTATTTTAAGAAGGTTGAGTTTTTAGACACCTGAAATCTAAGCAAGTACAAGTTGACGTACCTAGTTAGACAAGGAGTTTCCAAAAATTGTGCCTTGCAACATGCCTGAAAAGGGAAAATGGAAACACTAAACACATTGGCTAGGCAAATAGATGCATACTTATTACTTACTTCTGGATCCAAGCCAAATAAGGTCTACATCAGATTTCACCGAACATCTTAGCTCACCTCTAACTATCACTACCCACAAAGCGCATGAAAACAGATAATGAAAATAACCCGTTCCCATACTAATGATGCCAAGTGTCACCTTTCGCATTTAATACACAGCAACAAACGTCAAAACAACAAACCTTAGGAAGTATCTATGGCTTAATAGGCCAATAACATTTCTCAGCATCTCGTCTTGAAAATTCCTGTATGTCACCAAAACATTTAGACTGGCTGATAGGAAACGCAACAGACACGGGAGTTCCTGAAGAGGAGGAACAGGAATTTCCTGCACAGGTAGCAGGCAGCAAGCTGGGAGATGTTTTCATTGCACTTCCCAGTATCAGAGCACCGGTACAGCGGAACGTAGCAGGGTTTTGGCAGAGCCCGGCTAAATCATCCATGGTACTCCACTGTAATAACCAACAGGATTTAGTGGTTTATAGCAACTTCATAATTCTTGTATAAGAGGTAAGACCTCATCTCAAACAGAGCTTAGTAGATCCGCTTCACCAGTGGCATGAGATTCCTCACAGCCTTGTTGCCACGGCCCTGCTTCATATTGCGTTTGACTGGAAGTGACCTCATGAATCTGGCTGCTGGCCATCAAAGGAAAGACAGTCTTGTTCTCCAGCAGGGATTATTTTTGTTCGGTCCTGTCTTGCTGAGCTTTGTCAAGTGTATCTCCAAACAGGATGCGTGCCTCTTGAAAGGCACGGCTCTGATCGCTGCTTTGCCTGGGTTTCAAACAGCCACGCAGGCATATCATTCCCCTCTCTGCAACACCGGTGGTCAGGAGGGCAAGGTCCAGAGCTGCATCTCATACCAAGTACGCGGCAAGTTGTACTTCCCTCCTGGAATTGCTAGATCCATTTGCACAGGGATATTTTTCAGCTTTGCTAATCAAATGCCTGTGGCTTTGTAACTGTAATCTACGGTTACACTGGCTAAGACAGTTACATTAGCTCATGAGAATCCTACTTTTTCTTCATTAAATCAAATTCCTTTCAAAGAAATCATCTTGTAGTAGACTCCATTTTGATGGGATTCTGAAGGTTTTGGTTGGGGTGGTTTTTTCACATTAGTAAGGATCACAAAGTCTAAAATTAGGGATCAAAGTCCAAGTTTCTTGGATATGGAAAGGAAGTTGCTCAAGTCTGTGAACTACTTTAGACATGCAGAAGTTTTTATCAGGCTAAGGAAGGGGTTTTTTGGTGGGGTTTTTTGTTGTTTTGTGGAGGTTTTGTTTGGTTGGGGTTTTTTAATGTCTGAGAAGTCCCAGTGCATGGGAAATAATCTCCTTGCTCCTGGCCAAGGCTGCTTCCTTAGCTGAGAACTCTTCTAAGTGCTCCAAAGGGAAAACATGTGGACTTCTGAAGATACTGTCCACTAGTTCATGGAAAACTCCCCAAACTTCTGGCTACTTTCAAAAATGTATAACTTTCAAAATCCTGCATACTGGGCTGAAATCTGACATATTCTGTTTACAGAAAAAAAGAAAAAAAACCACTGAAAAAAATGTCTTTTTCCTATCATATAAAAGACACAAGAAACTTAAGGGGTTTCGCCTCCAACCCTAGATTCAGGATCCACACAATATGTCTTCCATAGGCTTCAACCCACCCTCCCTTTCTTTGCCCAGTTTTGGCAAATGACATACCATCAAAAAAATTACTTTATTTACACAGAAAGATCACCGGCTATGGGAAGGAACCCAAGTTTCGCAGCAAGATGAGTGCCAGCTGAATGGAAAGCAGGGCCACGGCCGCTGTCGCCCCTTGCCAGGAGCATTACGCACAAAGAGAAGGAGGGCGCAGAGGCAGCATTGCGGCCGCAACGACAGGAGCAGGGTGCGGAAGGGTGTTACAAACTCCCTCCATACAGAGACGGGCAGTTCTGAACCTCTCTACTCCATACTGCCTTCTAAAGGGAAGCATCACGAGCAATAGGGGCACAGATGACGAAGAGTACGGTGACGGCCTGGCTCTAAGTTATAAAGGCATTACTCTAAAGCACTGAAGTTATAAAAACGTGTAAACGGAGCGAGAAGAAAAACAGCAGCGTTTGCCTGCTTAGTTATTTATTTTCAACCTCTGTCACTGTTTGTTGAACTCCAGATGATGTCATGGTCCCATAATTTATTTCATACATTGCACAGTGTATTATGTCCCTTTTACCCCCAACTGTCAGGGGAGAGAGAGAGAGGGAGATACTTTATAATAACGCAGCAATTATAGCCCCTGCTTTCTTTGCAAGTTTTCAGCGAGGGAAGCAGACAACTGCTAAAAATTTTAGATCAACACACACTTACCGTGCTCACGGAAAACAAGACAGTAGTTAAACTATTATCTATTCTAGTCAGAAACAAATAACGAAAGAAAACAGGCATTCACAAAAGCAAGTCAAGCAATGACTCTGCCCCGGCCCATCCATTTTTGATTGTCATCAACCAATCAGACAGAAGGAACTCAATAAAACTACAATTTTGTGCAGTTTGTGGCAAATAAACTCCTCTCTCCTGATTACCGATGATGATGTAATGAGCTATGATAAATGTCACCCGCTCCTAAAGGGTCAGGAAATTGAGTATAGATTTATTTTTTTTTTTTACTTCCAATTCAAAAATGTGAGTTTTAACGCTGGGGGGGGGTGGGGCAGAACTTACAAATTCTCTCTACTTCTGATATTTTTGCTGCATAATACCTTACATAAATACAGAGAAATCCCAAACCGTCATAACAAATTCTCCTGTTATGAAAGATTATAAGCATTCGAAAACAACATTATATGACGCTCCGTAAAGCTGCTTTTCAATTGTGCAATTACCTATTCAGCAGTTAAATAAAAGTGAAATATTGACTTAAAACAATGTTAATGGTCAAAGAATCATTAAGAAATCCTTCATCATAACTTTCACAGCAGGTGGCCTGTAAAATGATCAAGAATAATGTGCTGGATTCTGTAGCCACCAAGGTCAGTTTCTGCATACAAATCTTTGCAGGGGGAGAAAAAAAGACCTTCAGAAAGTGGGCCATTCATCTGAACCAAGTTCAGAGAATTTCCAGCACTGTGAAAAGATATGTTATGCAAGCACATAGATGTATTCAGTGGGGGTAGACTGAACCAGCTACATGGAGACTACAAAGGAGCCCTCCCATGGCTCATGAATAAGTCGAGGAAATGATCAGAAAAAAAATGGAGAGATGTTTAGACAGATGGCCCACTTAAAATGCCTGGGACAGGGCATAAGCAATTTTAATGAAACTTTAGATCTACCATATAAATTGTTTCTTATTTTCTCTGCCCACCCCTCCCCTCCAAAAAAAAACCTCAAGAAAGGCAAATAGAAATTTAACAACTCAAACAAGAGCCTATCTTATGATGTAGGGAAAAAAAAAAAAAAAAAGGAAAAAGGGAAGTAAATCTCACACTTTTGAGCATTATTGGTTTAATAAGTTCAT